CGTTATAATGTGACGGTCAATCCCACTATTCGTTGGTAAAAGAGTAGCCCAAGAGTTGGCGGTGGGTGATGATGACTATCTGCCTTCCCTCTAGTCTTACACTGCTAAATTAGGGACGGTTAGCGCAGATAGCCCTCGTGTAGCTTTGCGCGAAAATTCAAAAACAAACAAACAAGTAGTTACAGAGGTTGATGTGGATTTGTGTTTTTCTCTCTTGTATACGTTAGTTGAAATAGTCTATGATGTATATAGCTTTAAATTATGGGTACCTCACTTGGACTCTTTATCCAGTGCAGATGCGTTTGGAAAGCTTTTCTATATTCAAGCAGCCAGTACAGTGATTACAGAATATAGAAGCTTGGCAGTAATTTAAGGCTTACAAAGACATATATGTGAAAAAAGTTGTTCATTTACCATTGTTGCTACTTTCATTATATATGGGTATTATTATTATTTTGAGCTTATTCGAATGTTGTCAGTACATTGATACTATGGTTAAAATATAGAAAAGTACAAGGTAATAAGAACAATGTACTCAACATATTATAAGGTGTATCTAACATAACTCACCTAGTATTAAAACATATTAACACACATGATCGCCGTCACACCAAACATTCTCGCTCTTTCAGCCATGGGAGCGTTATAAAGTGAAGGTCAATCCCACTATTCGTTGGCAAAAGAATATCCCAAGAGTTGGCGATGGGTGGTGATGACTAGCTACCTTTCCTCTAGTCTTACACTGCTAAGTTAGGGATGGCTAACGCAGATAGCCCACGTGTAATTTTGCGCGAAATTCATAACAAACAAACACACATGGAGCAAGCAACTAGAAGTAATGAATAAATTTAAATCGTAAACAGTAGTCAAAAAATACGCTTTCTAATTTCTATCATTTATTATTTTTGGTGTTAATAAACATTAGTTTTTTGTTGTTTTTTAACTATCTATACTACTACCAAATTTTATAGCTGAGCAATAACATTTGTCCACGCAAGTAAGCAGGGGCGTTCGAGGGGGTTTGGCTGAACCCCCTATTTTTGTGATGTAAATTTATGATGCTTATATAGTTATAGCGCAGCTGCTTATGATATTTAACGTTTTATAAATAGTTTACATTCTTCTGATGAAGTATTAACATTTTGTGGCTTGAAATAGTCATGTGCTTTCAGACCCCCTGGCATTAGCATGCTGATTGTGCTGTGTACAATATGTGTTGACATTTGATTTCACAAATTAAAATCCCCTTTCAAACATTCTGTATATAGGCCTGATGTCGTAGTAGCTTTCAAGCTGCTCTAAGCGTTCACTGTCGAAGCTGTTTAGCAGGCTTTCATTGGCCACAAGACGTTATTCCGGAACATTATATTAACCTTTGCCCATATTGGTGTAAGATCCTTTTAAAGAACTTTACGTTAACTATATTGAACGAAGCAAACCTTATTGGTTGTGTACTTTCATTGGCCACAAGACGTTATTCCGGAATATTATATTAACCTTTGCCCATATTGGTGTAAGGTCCTTTTAAAGAACTTTACATTAACTATATTGAATGAAGCAAACCTCATTGGTTGTGTACTGTAAGTAACTTACACTTTACTTTTTCTTTAACGTTATTTTCATTAACAGTAATTTTTATTATGAAGATTAGTTTGCATTGTTACAGCTTAGTATATGTACTTAGAACTAACCCAAATCTCCTAAGCTAGCCGAACCTTGTCAGATTATAATGGGATTACAGCCGAAAATATGGCTAACAATGAAAGGACTCAAATGATGGAATAATGCATTCTAATTATTGTGAGTAAGAAGACGAGGAAAATGTATTTAATGAGCCATTTTCATTACTTGATATATTTTTAGTTCGGATATATGTGGGTAGCTTCCTTTAATCAGAATTTAATATCAACTGTCATTTAGCTCTAATCAACATCAACGAATTTCAGGTCGTACTTATATCTGTGTTAGTTTACTACAATCTATAAGCTGTTATCTAGTTACAAACATAAAATAATAATAATAATTATTTCACGGATGACTTCCTACAGAAGTGACTCAGTAAACAATTAAGAACTTATTCGACGACTCCAGATTTGCATTACTTCACGCTTATCTATGTGACAGATACAAACCCCCGCTCCATCCCCACCAAAAAACATGGAAATTTGCAAGGAATAATTTCAAAACATATTCCATAATGTCTCAAATGAACAATACCTTTAGCATCGAATTTGAATACCTTTAGCAGCCTTGCGCCCGTGGCTTTGACCCAATTAGGAGGTGGCTCTGCGACCTGCGGGTGAATATGATATGTTAGAAAATGCAAAACAAAAGTGAATAATAATGGCATGCATAATATTAAAAATGAGTAATACTTGTTTCTCTTTTTTCTTTCTCTCTTTCCCTAGGGCAGCAGTAAGTTTACAAACTTGCAACGCTAAATCCGGGGTTTGATTCCCCGGAATGTACACAGCATATAGCCCAGTGTGGCTTTGCTATAACAAACAAACAAACTCTTTCCCTTTTTTTACAGCCTAGGGTACACACGCACAAACAGAATGCCCTCTACACACTTACGATTTGTTAATAGTCGCTAGAGTGCGTTGTATATTAATTTCTATGTTGCCATCTCGTGAATGAGAATTTTAATTAGAATTTTCAATAAAGTTGCAATGTGTGCTAATAATAATATAGCCTAAATTAGGTTAGTTGCTATTAATTTCCTGTATACCAAAACGTAAGTAGGTGCACTAAAAAATACAGCGTTTGTCAATATATCAGCTATTGCATTGGTATTAGTATTGTATATTGTATTACGTAGTTCAAAACGCTTGGGGAATGTGATCGTATTCATAAAACTAATACAAATATGGTATATTAGTTATATGCTATAGGCCTAACCGCAGCCCAAAACTCATTTTCAGAAGTATAACATGCACATCTTACCACAAGTCTTCAGGTATTTTAGAATAATTTAATTTCTTGAATTGAAGCTCATTTTGAGGGTAAGTTAAGCCTAATTACAAGGTCAATGATTTTGAATTTCTAGTAATTTATCATAACATACGGACGATAAGGGATAATTTGGCTGCCTTTACACACCCACTTTTGAAAAGAGTAAATATTAAACCTACCCTTTATTGTTTAGGAAGTCTTCATTTCCCCTCTCAAAGTTTTATAAACTGTCAGACTTGGGTCATACTAAACACCAAAATGGACTGAAAAGAAAATTATGGCACTGAAAAGGAAGCAAATACGTAAAGATTAGTTTATAGTTTATATGAGGTATTGGCTTTGGGATGTGTGGAATAAAGTTGCTAGGTAGTTTAGCAGCAAACACATTTCTTTTGCTCTATGGTTCCCTTAACCTAGGAATTTCTGTGAAGGCCCACACACACACATACGTGTATTGATACCTTAAAAGAACTAATTTTGACAAAGAGAATAATATGAGTTTTCTGATTTTGAGTAGATTCCAATTGTATTAATATACTTCTAAATATTAAGAACTGGTCAAACTCTGCTACTGCCTGTAACAACGTATTCCTTAGGTCAGCCTGTTAGAAAAGGTAAAACTGTTTTAACTGGAGCCTAACCTATCTTTTTTTTTCCAAATCTTAAGCTTATAACGACATTCCTTTCATCCAATTATATTCAAAGTATAGCACAAAGAAATCGGAGGCTTTTATCCCGTCAGTTCCCTTGTTAATTGTATAGACTTAAATTAGATCACTTCTTACCCTTTTTTTTCTCAGGATAGAATAACTTGGATCTTTCCCTATCCTCACAAGATTCTTTCATCCCCTGAAGCATATGAGTAAACTTTCTGTGAATATCTTCCAATATGGCAATAACCTTTCTGTGAACCTCTTCAAACATGTTAATAACCTTTCTGTGAACCTCTTCAAACATGTTAATAACCTTTCTGTGAACCTCTTCAAACGTGTTAATAACCTTTCTGTGAACCTCTTCAAACATGTTAATAACCATTCTGTGAACCTCTTCAAACATGTTAATAACCTTTCTGTGAACCTCTTCAAACATGTTAATAACCTTTCTGTGAACCTCTTCAAACATGTTAATAACCTTTCTGTGAACCTCTTCAAACATGTTAATAACAAACTTTAGTCAGTGTTCCAAATGAGGCTTATATAATAATTGATATAGAGATAATTACTAATTGTAATTAGTATGTTGATAAATAAACCCTAAATTATATTAGCTTTACTACTAGCAGCAGGATACTGCTTTGATGGCTTAAGTGACTTATCCACAACTTTGTCAGTCATGTTATTGAGTAGAACTGAGCGATTAGTGGAATTTACTGAACTCAGTTGTTGGGCTTGTTAATCGATTACATTCAACTAATCAATTATTTTAATGTGATGTCTAAGAAAATCCATTATTGTCAGGATATGTGTTAAAAACAAAAGTTATGATGATAAAAATTTGGTTTTGATAAACACGGTGGGCAGTGCACTGATACTCTATTATGTATCTTTGTGTTTAACATCCACACATGGTGGGATATTTTGATCAGTTGGGTATTTGGAATAATAAAAAACAGTGATAATCAGAAATCCTAATTTCAATTAATTGTTATTTTTGTAGGTCATAACACTAACCAGTTAAGCTGAACAAGCTTAAATTAATCAAATTTAATGATTAGAAATCATAATGGGAGTTAAAAAGAAATTAAGTTATGTCTTTCTTGACCATGTGTCATGAAACCTGCATGGATATATATATACAGAATATATGATAAATTCAAAATAATATAATATTACAAAAAGATAGAAATGCTTGGTATTTTCTTGTATGACAGGTTCAGTCTGGCCCTTGGGGCAGGTTGAAACCAACTGTAAAGTAAACTTACAGCATTCATCCCTGGTTTGCTCTGTTTATCTTTAGTAAGTGAAATAGATTTGGATTTCCATGTTATCCTTTTCTTCATTTTTTAAGAACATGCCTATCTTGAATTGAAAGCAATTTATTTTTAAAAACCTTTCAACTCATTATCCCAACTCACTAATGATAAATCTTATTTCATGGCCTCGAAATTGACTTTCTGAAAATTAAGAACAAAAATTTGATTGGTGTTATTTCAGCATGTTGCATATGATGACAACTGCTATGTTTGCCATAATCCAGCCGGCCCGATAAGCCCTGTTGTTGGGCAGAAGGCCTCGTTGGCACTAGATGTAGTGTAGTTGACATGTTATAGCTTATAGCATGTTCTTCTTGGCTTTCACTCGTGGGTTCCTGGAATTACTACTGCTGTGAATGCATGACCCACCGTGGGAACAAAACGACTAGCTTGCTGATTTGACAGTTCTTGCGAATGACAGTAAATTTAATTCAAATACAGTAATGACAGAAAATAAATAATCAGTGTTAGTATAATATTGCTATTAATTCTTACCTTAAAAATATGATGTGTAAATAACTTTAATTAATAATAAATACAATTTACATGTATAATATTATTTACACTTTAATAGTTGTTTGTGAAAATTGATGATATATATATAGTGCCTAGACCACTACTATGTCTGCTGTATCCCATTTGGCATGATGAGCCCTGGTATTGGCACTGGATATAGTGTGGTTAACATAATACATTCTCCTTTGTTTTTACTCATTGTTTCTTAGATTAACATCAAACCTATATAAAAGCCAGTGTGTGTCACATGCTTGATTTCTCAAAACTGGAGGAGTCATAAAAGCATTTATCCAGCTAGAATAGTTTGATTACTGTCTGCCTATTGTGATTTTGGTGATGGGTGAAAGGTACCATGAGGGGTGTGTGTGTGCTGTATAAGTGTGGTGAGTGAATGAATCACCTAGTCTAGAGCCAAATGCATAAAATTTATTATGAAAGTAAAAATATCGATTCAACTTCCTGAATTAAGCTATTTTTTATTATATCACCAGTGTTTTTAATAAAAAAACAAATCTTTTTAATTAACGGAGACTAAATTAGTAAATCAACAAATATTTTTCATATTTTGTTATCTATACATTTCGTTTTATACTTTCAGTACATAGACTAACAACAATATTAGGTTATACTTTTGTTGCTGAGCAACATGACATAAAAGCCATCGCTGGAACGTAGTGTTACCAAAACGTGATGGCTTTTCTATATATTAGAAATTGTTAATCTAACTGATTTTCACCAATAATTATTCTATGAATAAATTAATTTCATGAACAGTCTTAATTCTGATTGGCTCACAAAGAAATTTACAAATGTTTGACTGCCTGAATTGCATTTTTCTGCCTCTTTGTTGGTCAAACTTGATTTTGCAAAATTTATTTATTTCAGTTAGCTATGAAATGTGAGGTGAGGGTATACTGTGGGAATGGGTGGTAGTACTTGCCTGTTATTTTTGATGGGTTATATGCTAGGTATGCAATAATCACTACTTTAACTGTTGCAACCGTTAGTGGTCAATGATAAATCTAAAATGGCATCCTCTCTCTTTGATAACTCTCTTGCCATTGCCATTCAGTATACATGTAGAAGTGGATTTCAAACTAATTGCCAATTGGTATACATGTAGAAAATGATCTTGATCCACTTCGAGAAATCTCTATCATTCTCTGTTTGACTCGATAAAATCCCAATCGTTGTCTCTAAACTTAGTCTTATAATTATTGCATTAGTATTCTTAGTTGATCTTATTATACAATTTTTCATTGACCTCATTTGCCTGATTAAGTGGCCTATAACAATTGCCAATTAAAAACTTTCAATCCTTCAATCCCCTTGACTACTGTTTTTTACATCTTCAATCCCAGTAATCTGCAGTTCATCCCTTACATAAAGAGCTATTTCTTATTCAAGCGGTCTCCAAGTTTTATTTTCCAAAAAGTGGGTCCCTCATCATAAAATTCAGAAGATTTACTTCAACCCGTCCTTTTTTTAAAAGTCTATCGCTATTAAAAAACTTATAATCTAAATTGTTTTATTGACATTATTTTCTTAGTGTCACAAAATGTCACTAGTTCCCATTATGTAATAGTCATCCATTTGAAGGAGGTTAATTAAGGATTGGACATGTGAACCCTTGCTATTATTCCTTTTAAGTCCTTGAATAGTGGACAAGTGCCAGAAGATGAGAAGTTAAAGCTACTCCCCCTTTCTAGGTAGGTAATGAAAATTGTCACACTAATCATAGGCCTATTAGTCTTCCATCAGTGGTGGAAAAAGTTTTTGAAAGTCTGGTAAAAGATGCTTTGCAAAGTCTTTCTTAAAGTTTTGTTGGATAATCAGTATAGTTTCACTAGAGGAAAATCTTCCCATACTAAATATTTTGTCATTCTTTGAAGAGGTTACTGCTTATGTAGATTAGGATACATGTCTGGATTTTGATGAGGTGCTATATAAAAGGCTTGTGTAAAAGGTTATCTCTGTAGATGTGGGGGATAGGTTGGCTCATTAGATAGAAAACTGGCTGGATGGAATAAAACAAATCTTTATAAATGGAGTTAAGGCAAGTTGAATTAATGTCACAGATGGTATACTTTAGGGCTCAGTGTTAGAACCTTTCCTCTATTTGATTGACATCAGTGATGTAGTTGAAGGAATGGTTATTTATATTTGCTGATGATATTAAAGTTTTGGGTGTTGCTGCCTGTGAAGAGGATGTTGCTAACTTACAAAAAAGATTTAGACTATTTGGTGAATAGGGAAAATAATGGCAGACGGCTTTTAACTATTATAAATGTAAGATAATGCACGTGAAATATTAGAATTTGAATCATGAGTATAAATTTGATGGGAATAACTTTAACAGTTTAATGGAAGAAAAAGATGTTGGTGTTCTGGTTGTTCAGTTTCATAAGTCATCGAAGCAATGTGCTGTTGCTAATGGTAGGGCTTTAGGTTGTATCTACAAAAATACTGAATACAAGGTTTTAATGTCCTGATATAGGTTATTGGTTAGGCCAAACTTGGAGTACCATGTTCTGTCTTGGGATCCTTACCTTAGAAAAGACATTGAATTGTTGGAAAAGGTTCAGAGGAGGGCTACTAAGATGATATCTGGGATGAAAATCTTTGAAATTGTTTTCTCTTAAAGAAAAGAGAGGGGATCTGATTGAAAGGTTTAAGATTGTCAAGGGTACTGATAGTGTTGATGCATCATCTTTTTGTATATAGTAGTGAGGATGGTAATACTAAGGAAAACAAATATAAATTTTGGCAGTGTAGGAATTGTTTTCAGCTAAAATAGCTGTGTTTTTCTAATGGTGGTTGGCCTTTGGAATGGGTTGCCTTCAAGATATGTATGATATATTTGTAGTGTATACGTGCATGTATATATAACAAAAAGATTCAATGTGTGTGAATGTTTTAAAAGAACAAGCTAGGTTAGTTTATATGATATATTTGTAGTGTATACGTGCATGTATATATAAAAAAATAATCAATGTGTGAATGTTTTAAAAGTCTATTGCATCATATTGTAAACAGTATAAATACAAAAATGCTTTGTTTCTATAACTGTGACAAAATATTTTTATATCTAAATCATATTCTATATTTGATAACCTGATGGTTGTATATTTCTAAACCTTTTTCTATATTTGATAACCTGATGGGTGTATTTTTTTTAGATTCATTCTATGTTTGACAACCTGATGGTTGTATTTTTTTAGATTGATTCTATATTTGACAACCTGATGTTTGTATTTTTTTAGCTTTATTCTATATTTGACAACCTTATGGTTGTATTTTTTTAGCTTTATTCTATATTTGACAACCTTATGGTTTCAAATATAGAATAAAGCTAAAAAAATACAAACATCAGGTTGTCAAATATAGAATAAATCTAAAAAAATACAACCATCAGGTTGACAAATATAGAATAAATCTAAAAAAATACCAACCTGATGGTTGTATTTTTTTAGATTTATTCTATATTTGACAACCTGATGGTTGTATTTTTTTAGCTTTATTCTATATTTGACAACCTGATGGTTGTATTTTTTTTAGATTGATTCTATATTTGACAACCTGATGGTTGTATTTTTTAGATTTATTCCCATTTTGTTTACTCCAGTTTAGTCTATTGCCAATGGGAGTAGACAAACTGGGATTTTACCTAAAGCCTACTTATATGTTCAAGTTATGGCATTTTCATAATGTAACATAAGACAACAATTTGTCCCTTCAAAGCTGACCATCTCAAACTTCCGTAAAGTGCTCACCTCCATTATTTTGTCAATATTAGCTCATTCCTACAAGTCAACCACCCTGTTATAAAATAGAACTGTCTTAACAGAAGACTAGCTTGTCTTTTCTAAATAGTAAAACTGAAATTTCTAATAGTATTATCTACAGGTAAATTGTATGCCTTTATCCTGTTGATCACCCACCTTCACATGATAAGCTTGAAAACTACAATAAGATTACCTCTTATCCTCGGGGATCCTGCCAAATGTTTCATTCTCTCAACTAGCCAGAAGAAACTACTCCTGAAATGAACACACATCTGTTTCCATCTCTATATATCTGAATGAGTTCCTTATACTTTAAAGCAGCTCTTCATATTTATATTATTCATTCCTATGTGTTCTACAAAAAAAAATGCCCTTTTGTACATTAACTATACTCTATAATGTCCTGTACTTTAATACCTGACAAGCAAAAAAGTTTTAGTCCTAGTCTTTCGGTTATCTTTAGTACAAACAGTTTGTTAGTAAACTTAATTTGATAGTCTCCCACCATGTAAACTTCTTGATCATTAAGCAGTCACAGTTGTAAAACTTACTCAAACCTAGCCAAGATTACCTTTTGACTCATCTTTTAAACTTTTCTCATGTTCTCATAATTATATTCATGAAAATTAAGAACTTGTATTTAATTTTCCTTGAACTTAATTTTTAGTCAAACTGGACCATTGTTACTAATACGGTGCCTTAGGTCAATGGTTGGATCTTTGTTTTTTTCTTATTTACATAAATGATATTGATATGGGGCATGATAAGTAAATTAATACAAGTTGTTTGGGTGACATTAAACTCTTGGGTATTTCTGACTGTGTTGAGGATGATGAGGGATACCACAGAATGATTTGGATAGTTGGACACATTTGACATTAACCTTTAATTACAATAAGAGCTAAGATGATGTATTTGGATCTTACATTTAATAGCATGACTGAAAAAAAGAATCTTGCCATAGTGGCAGACAAGTCACTCAAACCACTGAGACAGTGCACTGTTGCTAATAATAAAACTAATATAATTTTACGGTATATTTTTTTACTCATCATTTACAAGTCAAAAGTGGTAGTTATCTATCCATACAAATCACCAGTTAAGCCTCAGTTGGTCTCTTTACCTTAGAAAGGATGCTGAGTTATTGGAAAGGGTTCAGAGGAAGGCTACTAGGATGATTTTGGAAATAGGAATGGGTTATTTTTTATGAAAAGGTTAAAACCTAAGAACTTATTTTCTCTTGAGGAAAAAAAGAATGGTAAGGGATTATCAGAAGGGAGTGATAAGACAAAGGCCTCTTGACTTCTTTGGGCTGCATGTATATTTTGAAGACAAAAGATTAAGAGGACACAAGTTGAAGGTTATTTGAAGGATGAAGAATAACAGTGTGTAAAAATGAAGTTGTTAGGAGTAGAATTGAAGTATAAGTGTAATACTCTAATTGATTAATCATCAGACATGTTGATCCTTTACGTTCAGTTAAATGATGAGACTAGAATAGTTAGAATTATCAAAAGTAGTAAAAATCAGAAATATTAATTTTAATTAGTTCATTATTTTTGTGAGTTGTAACTAAATGATTAACCTGTATAACCTTGAAATAACTTTAAATAATAATGAGCAACCATGATGGCAGTATTTTGATTACTTGCATATTTGAAACATTAAGTTTGATTAGTTGATTATTTTGCATGACATTAATCGATTTAATCATAATTTTGAATACATTCAAGCTCATTTGGGGCAAGCCCACCACTATTTGGTGTTGTGTTGTCAAGCTCATTTGGGTCAAGCCCATCACTATTTGGTGTTGTGTTGTCAAGCTCATTTGGGTCAAGCCCATCACTATTTGGTGTTGTGTTGTCAAGCTCATTTGGGTCAAGTCCATCACTATTTGGTGTTGTGTTGTCAAGCTCATTTGGAGCAAGCCCATCACTATTTGGTGTTGTGTTGTCTTTCAGTTTTGGTAATTTTATGTGAAAAATGATAAACTGAAAGATGATAGCATGGATACTACATCTATCGATTTCATCTGACCCTAGTATCGTAAATAACCGTCTATACTGAAAGGCTATCATCCGTGAATTTGTAGTAAATAGAATCATAAAAAATACAGTTCTTCCCACATTATTCAAGTTTGATTTGAAAGTCTCAACTTTGCAAACTCTGAAAATTAATGTTACTACTTTTTTGTAAGTTTCATCAGAGATGATGCTTACTAAAACATTAGTTGATAAAGTACATTAATGCACCCCAAGTTAACAGAGAAGTCCTAGAAATATGCTGTAGTTCAGATGTACCTTGAATTAAAGAGAAAACGATTTTTAAATCAGTTATATTTTAGATTTTTTTATTTCTGGAATTAGATGGTGGATGATAGCTCAGCACGTGTATTTTATTATATAACGAGTCACAGTGGTTGTGCAAGGTAAATGTAGTCACTGACTTGCTTAAATTATTAATGTTGTACATGTAGAAGTGACTTCTCTTTCTTGTAATCATTCCCTAACATTATCATTTATTGAACTTTAATCACTACAAGGTCCACTTCCAATGGCAAAAAAACATGTAGAATTTCTGAAAATTGTCATTTTATTGAACTTGAGTTAAGAAAAAGAAATAAATTAGAGCTGTGATAGTAGACTATTCTTATTTTTCACATACTTGTTTATTTTAAGACTTGAATGGGTTCTACATTCCGTAGGCATTGTTTTGTTTGTAGACATTGTATTGAAGTTGTGACTATAATAATCACTTTACATAGTTATACTATTGTACTTTTACATTTAAAGATGTGTTAGTATATGGTGTTCATTTAACCTACACTAAACATATGTTTATACGATTTGTTTTCTTCTAGGATAACTGAATTCTTCAAGTGAACTTAGTCCCGTATATAGTAAACCAAAGATAATAAAAAATGTCACCAAAGTAGTTGTAATGAAGTGAACTCGGTGTTCTACAAGATGTCATCATTTAAGCATACTGCACAAGAACTTATTCAGTATGTGTTTGCCCCAAAGATTGCAGTGGTCAGTAGCTCAGGAGCTGAAGCCATCTGCCAGAAAAACAACTTGACATTTGTACAGTTAGTACGTCCATTTTGTACCTTGAAAAATGAAGGTCAGTGTTGAAATTTTAAAAAATTATGTAAATCAAGTTTCCGTTTGGCTTATGCATAATGTATCACTCAAGATGGCAAACTTCAGTTATGGTTAATGTGTGTGTGTCTGTAGTTCTTGTAAGAAGAAGTTGTGATATTACACTGATGTAGTATGGATAAAGTACAACTCTGTATTTTAACTTATGTTTGAATTGACAGTTTTTTCTGTCAATGTCAACACAACTTTTGGTTATTACAGACCAACACAGCTATATCTGAAATATGCTATGTGGCTTGTAATTATCTTGTTATGAATGGTCATGCAATTGTTGCTATTTAGTGAAGTAGCCACTGCTAATTTTTATTCTTAATAGTAGTTACTTAAGTATTAGGACTGGCAATTGTAGTTTATGAGAAAAAAAAAAGTCTTCAAAATACTGAGTAAAGATACTCTGATTGTTCATGCAAATCATGATTTGTTTTGGTTTCATTAACACAGTAATTAGTTTTTTTTGAAATTTAATTTAAAATTGTTATTCAGAATTATTTTTCTCCAGGTGATGGCTAAATTAAAATTTTTTGTTCCTCTCTATTCTGTCGTAATCCTCAACATGCAGCTAGATCACATTTATCTGAATTGTATGGTTGTGCTTATAATTTAATGAAATCTACTTAAGAGTAACTGGTTAGTGAGACCAGTTTGGATTAGGTTTTAGCAGTACAAAGATTAAATTACAATTCTATGGTTCTTCTTTTAACCAGATTGCTAGTATTAGTTTTCAAGCCTAGTGAGGCTCTTGACGTGATTTACAGAAAATTAAAAGACATAATTTGAGTTTGTTAAGTGATGAATAACGTGGAGATGCACTCACACTACAAGATATATTTGAAATTTTTACTTTATAACAAACAAGCTATTTCTCCTGAAGAACCGAGACACATAGGAACTTTAAGATGTGTTAGTAAAATTGATGTAAGATTTAAAGAATTGCTCTCCTCCTTAACAATGAGACTTTATACAGATTTGGTAATGTCTAGTTGAAATATACAAATTTACAAGGGTCAAACATCATTCTGTGATGAAAATAAAAAAAATATTTTGAATTGGTCCATCAATCCCTTAAGAAATCAACATATTGTTATGTCTCTGTATGTTTGTTTGTTAATTCTTCGAAGATACAAGTCCTTTCTTTACAAAACTTGTTTATTCTTCGTCAATACAACTTTGTAATACACTTAATTTTCACAGTTACACACACTATAGTTCACAACAATTCACTCACTTTCTATCGCGCTTAGACTTAATTGTCTGCCCCCGCCAACTATAGTTCTGATCTCTGTGTCTGCTATCCTCAGCTTCTGCTGACCGTAATCGCTGTCTTTCTTTCTCTCTGCCTGCTTCGTCTCCGCTACGTCTCTGTCTCCACTACTGCTTTGACTCCGTCTGTCTCTCTCACTGTCTAGCGCACTTGTATACGATAATACTGCCTGTTCTAGAAACTTCTAAGACTCTCAACACGTGCTACCAGCGTCACTTGACTTCCGCAGTAGTCACGTGACCGCCGCTGTAGTAACACACCAGCGAATCTTCTAGAATACTCGTCACGTGACCCCACTGTCGTAACAATATTAACCACCCCTTTTTTAAATATGTGAAAGAGTCGAGATGTATACATACCAAAGTGTACTTGCAGGGGATAATGTGTATAGCGGCAATTGGTACACAAATGTGCCTAGCCCCTGCACTAGTATGTGGCTAACATGCTACCTTGGGTACATACAATTTAGATAAAAAACACTGCATCACATTGCTTGAATCGTGAGAAAAACAATAAAATTTAACTCATTTTCAGTAAAAAAAAATATTTTAATACTAAGTTATTTTAGGAATTTTTTTACTTTGAAAATCCTACTGTACAATGTCGTTACTCTCTAGGCCTACTCACTTAACCTGTTTTTTTTTATCCAGCTGTTCTAATACTTAAAAATAAAATAGGCCTACCTCCTTAAAAACATATTTTTTTATCTACCAATATTAATATCTGTATGAAGTTTACAAAGAGAATTGTAAAAAATTACAAATAATTGGAAAATATTGGATCCGAATTGCATGTTTGTCACAATGAAAATTGCATTGAACTTTGTGCTAAGCAAGGTAAGGTTGAATTGTTATTAGAGCTGACTTGGATGCACTTATCTCTGTCTGAAATGTGTTAAGTCCATTCACAATATTTCATGGCACATAGTACTGCTTGTATCTGGATTTCTCAATATATACATTACTTTACATGGTCACATTTTATCTTGATACTTCAAGAAGTCATTTGTGTAAATTTGAGTTTATATTTTTGGTTCTCCTCTTCTGCAAGAAATAAATCCTTTCTGTAACATTTTAGTTTCACCAACAAATAAGAATATTGTTCAACTAGCTTTCCAAGTCAGTGTTGTAAATAACAAATAGTCTTTAAGTCAGACCCCTAAGGGACTCCATTAGTCACTTTCTTTGAATAAAAAAATGTCTATTTACTCTGTTTTTTGCTTTTAAACGAAATTTCTATCCAGTTATTAACTTTTACATCAAGTCCATAAGAATATAAACATTCAAGAATTTTTCAAAACCTTTACAAAATACAATTTAAAGTAAGCTCTTCCTCACCTTCTGTTATGATATAAAAGACTGTTTAGATATTATTGATTAATTTATTTTGTGAGTGAATATTTTATTGTTGTTTAGTTTTGGTTATAATATTAGTTAAAAGCAGGTGATTGTAGGAAGTTTTATCAATAATTCATTGATGTTGAGACTATCGATGTTGCCTATAATACATTGGTGTCTAGAATATAGAAGGTGGGCAGAAGATTAAGTGATAGACATATAAGTAATGTGAGGTGAGTGGAAACAGCAGACAGACAATAGCCAAAGAATGTGTTGAAATGTACTCATTTTTAATCAACTGGCTTCAATATATAAAACAATAAAATAAATAACATAAAAAGCCCTGCTTTGATTTTTCATTGAAAGTATTACATTCTATTTCCCATTCAGGGTAAAGCTTGTCAGAAGGAGTTGGTTAGGACTTAGGATTTCATTTTGCTTCCGGTTATTCCCTTCCAGAGTTCTGTGTGTAATGTTTCTCGATGCTTGTTACATCTATTTATACCTTTTGGGGGGCCTAATTTTGATGTATGCATGGTGGATCTTTACGACTCACTTATTGACTCTGGATTAGTATTTTACCCAACTTTTTGGGCACATCTCAGAGTTTTGTTCATCTGTGGTTCTTATTTGTGTTTCTTGGGTTTAATTCTTCAGTTCGATTTTCTACTCATCATCATCTCTTTCAATTTTGAATCTTGCAGCTTCTATTTAATTTTGTATCTGGGAGTTTCGAACTTTTTCCGCAACAAGGGAATATTAGTCTTATATTTCATGTTTCCCTGGGTTTTTTACTCTCATATCTTTGTGGTGCCAAAGAAAACAGGAGCTTGGAGACTGGAATTAGATCTCTCACATCTTATTTGTTATCTAGATATTCTTACTTTCCAGGTGGAGCCCATGAGAATCTTATGATTGTTTGATAGTTCTCTCATCAAGATGACGGGGAAGTCAAGAGATGCTTATTTACATGTGCTGTCTTCTCCAACATCAGTTTAATTTTTTGTTTTTCACATTTTGGAGTGGTTTTAATTCTTTACTCTCCTCCATTTTCGGTCTGGCTTTGGCACACTATATCTTCATGCATCTAGTCAAACAACTAGCTGGGCAACAACTACAGTTTCGATTGTCATCATTACATTGTTGATTGGCAGATTCTCATTCAGTCTTATGTCACATTACCTATCTAGCTAGCTTCTTCTTTGAGGTGGATTGTGAGAAATCTATTATATTTTTGGGACATCTTCCACAATGATGGCTTCACAGCTGGCAGTTATGAAGTTCTTTGTTATTGGATCTGGCTTCTGAGATAATTCCAATGTTGTCACATCCTTGCAGACGTCAGTGTAACAATCTTGTTGGTCTGTCTCTAGAAGTTGGTGCCTGTGAAATTCAGTTACTTGTCTTCCTGCAGCTTCTCAACAGTGTGCGTTTTTTTTTCAAGTACCTCTTTAATAAATAGGACTTGTCTGCTTCTATTGCACTCTCAACCACTTCAAGTTGTCACAGAAGTCAACCTCACTTTTTCAAATTCTTTTTTCAAGCTTTTTCATTACGTTTTCCACGAATGCCTAGATATTTACTTCGGTGGGATTTAAGTTTGATCTCAAGTTGCCTGGCTTCTCCTTTTAACCTTATGGATACGAGCAAGTAAAAGTGCATGTCATGACTTTTCTACAGAGTTACATTCAAAATTTATTTGAGCTAGTTTCTTATCTTAATTTTCACTTCGCTATGTCATTTGTCACTTCTTTACTCAGAATTGTCCATTTTAGATATTATTTCTATCCCTGCATAAGTTTAACACAAATTACACGCTTATAGTATAGATATTTCTAAAACATAATCTAACTTTATATCCTTCAACCTTCTTGCTTTACTGAGATATAAACCAGAAAATTAAACTCGCATGCCATGTCACCCCCTATCATATCATGTCTTTCAAAAGAATGTCAGATATTTTCTCTGATATTTGCTTTTGGATTATTTATAACCAATCTGGAGAGAATATGTTTGTTTAATGACTTCCTTACAAGACTCTTTATTCTGATAACAGTTTATGAATTATTCAATCTACAATTTCATTCTTTGCTATCACTGAGTCATCTTGATCAGCTAATGGAATTACTCTTATCCACTTATAGCTGAATTAGTTAAATTGCAATAGTTATAAGACATTGTATTCTTTGTACATGTTTTTATTTGGTGTTTTAAATAAATAACAATTAGATAGAGCACTAGCAACACTAGAGGAAAATTTTGTCTTGTTAATCTTTTTAAATTCTTTTAAGAAGTTATTGCTTATGATGATAGTAGTATAACTATGGATTTGATATATATATATATATATTGGTGTTTGGGATAAGTTAGCTTATTTGGTTGAAAAAAACAACAGAGGGTTATATAAATGGAGCTCAGTCAAACTGCATTAATGCCACTAGCGGGGTACCTCAGGGGTCAGTGTTGGGAGCTTTGCTCTTCTTGATTTGCATAATTCACATAGATAAATACCTGGTCTATAAAGTGCTTAGAATTGCTGATAATATTAAGATCTTGAGTTTTGCTGGCTGTAAATAAGATGCCATTGTTTGAAAGATCTTGGGTGTTGCTGGCTGTAAATAAGATGCCATTGTTTGAAAGATCTTGGGTGTTGCTGGCTGTAAATAAGATGCTATTGTTTGAAAGATCTTGAGTGTTGCTGGCTGTAAATAAGATGCCATTGTTTGAAAGATCTTGAGTGTTGCTGGCTGTAAATAAGATGCCATTGTTCCACAAAAGGAATTAGATCATTTTGTGATTTGGACAAAAATTGGGAAATGCATATGGGTTATCATAATTTAAACTGTTACAGGGTTTCATTTACTGAACAATTTTTTCAATAGTAAAACTTTTACAAGAGGATCAGTATGTTTTATTTTACTGAAAAATCTTGTCATTACATACTCGTATACATCTATATAGTCATGCTTTTTCTTCATGTCTTGGGGCACAAAAAATTTCAGCATTCACTTTGGATTTAAATAACTTATACTCATGAAGGTACGTACAGCAGGTATTGAAGAATAATTAGATAACAGTTGTTCACACTATTTGCCTTTACTTCCAGCTTTACAATGGATATGTCATACTGAACCCATGCTTCTTTTCCTTCTAATTTTGTAATTGTTCAGTTTAGATCTTTGAAATTTTCTTTTTGAAAACAGAAGAGTTAGAAGGGATCTGATTTATGTATTTCAGGTTATTAAGGGAATTGATAGTGTAGGTACATCAACTTTTTATGTATTTAATGGCAGGTTAGGAGTCATTTTCAGCTTAGACAGTTTTAATTTTCTAACAGAGTAGTTTTCATTTGTATTTGTTGAATGTAGTGAATCATGGAAATTTAAGGGAATACTTGATAAATAATTAAATTTTTAGGGTTGGATTTGTGTTTGGTTTTCTTTCTTTTTTTTTATTGGCCAACAGACCCTTAAATGTTAAGAACATGTACATCTATAGTGTTCAGACATTTATCAGTCTTAACAGACCCTTAAATGTGAAGTACATGTACATCTATAGTGTTCAGACATTTATCAGCTACAACAGACCCTTAAATGTGAAGTACATGTACATCTATAGTGTTCAGACATTTATCAGTCTTAACAAACCCTTAAATGTGAAGTACATGTACATCTAGAGTGTTCATACATTTATCAGTCCTCTTACAACTAACTTTTTCCTGTTTCTTTACCATAATTAAGCCATGTGGCATATATTGGGCATGTTAAACTCATGTTGGAAGTAGTGTGGGTGATCTGGACTTCAAAGCCTCATCTTCAATCAAACCAAGGTATTTATTGCTTTTGTAGTCCTCTTTGGTCACCACAAGTATTCTTTTGATAGGTATCCAAATGATATTTGTTGAGATTTAAACTAACCATGTCCAGGATCATAATATAACTTATGACTCCAGTGAGGGTTCTTACAAAGGTTACAAGTTGATGTGGTTGGTCATGTTACTTGTACATAACCCTTGTACCATTCCCACAATAAGTTGTTCACCCATTTTTAAGATGTTGACTGTACAAGAGATTTCTGTCTAAACTTGACATTTAAGAACACAATCTCTTATCAACATGCGGACGTGTTGTGATAATTCTATGACTAAGGCTCATTCCATCATGTTCAACATCTTGTTGGGGTTTTAGCACCGACAGCTTGAACACTCGTAGAAGATATCCTGTGGACCATATTGAGGAAGTTTTTAACACATTCACCTCATATTCCTTGCATCCTTATTAAGTAGTTTCAGTTTTTCATTTGTTAGTTACTCCGTTTAACCATTATTCCCAGTGAAAATGGTGGATTAATTTTTTGTGTGTTAGGTTCCAGAATTTTTTACATTTTTGTTCTGATTCTAATCTTTGAGGAAAGTTCAGTGCCTATTCAGATTGATTGGCTGGACATTTTAATATTTATGTTTGGTAGTACTGGAATTGTATGTTGAAGCAATTTGATAAGATAGTTGATAGTCTTAATTTTGGAATGACTCATTTGCTTGAACACCTTCCCAACTCAGAATACCGAGAAATACTTTGGCTGTACATCAGGGGTTCCAAGTTTAAGTGTGTCATCACATCAAGTCTGTTGATCTCCGAGTGTATTCTCCCAATAGTACAGAATTGTTGGGTCTCGGACATCTACTATACAGATGTGTCATTACCTTGTATAATCTGCTTTCTCTTGTTTTAGTGATTGTCATTAATGTTATCTTGCCATCTTTCATATATTTATTATGTTTTTAGGTCACTTCCACTGATGGCTTTTCTCTCTTATCATGTAGCTCCCATAGGCAGCATTTGATATGTTGTTTTTGTGTTGTAGCTGATGGACCACTGATGACCTCTGACAGTGAAAGGCTTATCTTTACATCAGCATTTATGTAATTATAGAATAAATTACATTCTCAAAATTAAGGTTTCTATAATTAAACTAAAATTCACTAAACTTACTCTTCTTTACACCAGAGATGTTTTGTACACAAAATGAAATCACATAAGGGATCTTTTTGTGCCAAACATAAGACAGGTGAAGATTATACCCATATAAAAAACAAAGCCTAGCCTTCATATAGAGGGAATGATAATATACAATTATATGTCAATGAGACCTGTAAATGGCATATGAAGGATGTAACTGGAGTAGTTGAGAGAGAGAATAAAAGAAATATATATTTTCTTTGTCTTTTCTCTAAATATAATTAATAAAAGTAGAGAAAATTAAGTTTTGAAAATTATCATTTAACTAAAAAATGTGGTTCATTATTGGAAATCATAAAAAAATTCATTATTATATATACCTTTTTATTCAGATTTATACATGGAAAAATGCATAGATGTGTCTGGGGTTCCATAGGTTCAGATAAGATTACATTTGTACCAGCAGAGAAATCTCATTGAAAGAGTTTCTGCTCAGTACAGTGCATACATATGTTTATCTGAGTAGCACAAGCTTGTCTTGAGTTTAACTCCACATTTGACCCACTTGAAAGATGAAACCAAACATGAACAAGCTGACTTGTTAGCCAATATAAGGAAGTTGATAAGTCTTGCAACCAGATGTAGTTGCATTTAAAAACTCACTTTTAATGTTTGTTTGTTTTTCACTAAATCACCTTTTTAACTTATAGATTGAATGTAAAAGTTTTTTTTCTTTTTTTCAGCCAGAAGAAAATATTTTAGTTGGAAAATATGTATTCAGTTGATATTAATAATCAGATGAAAAAATTTATTCTTGTAACGTTTTTGTAACTTTTATAATTTTCCAACTGTGATTTAAAAAAAAACAATTGTGTTTTGATTTGTGTTACAGCAACAATACGAGATCCATCAAACTTCAGCTTTACTCTCAAACACTTTCATGTGTGCATGAGAGACATCTGGTGGCAACCACCTCAACCTGCCCTAGCCAAGAAACTTCTTAATGATGCTGTAACAAGTAGCCCTATTCCTGATGATTCTAACAAAACAACTGTGATTATTGGCTCTTATGAATTAAATATTCATAGTAAGTGAAGGAAATTGATTTGTATCGTTTATGTTTCATTATACACAATGTTATGTTTGTTTATTTGTATATGTGGTCATTTTTTTGTCACTTGCTTCTGAAAGAAGTAGGACTTGTGTCAAAAATAACGTAGTGATTGCAGTAGTGTCTGATATGACCTCATCGTTTTCACATACCAAATTTAATACTGTTATAATAGTATAGAATATTGATTGCATCAATACTGTGTATGGAAGTACATTATGCTGATACAATAGAAGATTGATCACCCATGATTTATAAGGATAATGAAAAAAATTTGATTTATAGAACATTCTGCATGTCTTATCGGAACATTTGTGGGCAGAGCACAGATATTCCTTTGTGTAAACTTGTTGTCTAATAAGAAACAAACAGTCTCTACCTTAAATTGGGCAATAGACGTAATTACAGCAATAAAGATGTAGCTTAAGGTATTTAGCTGTTTTTAAACTCTCACTTTGTATTTAAATAAAACATGTTTAGTATGTCTACATTATTCACAGTTTCTTTCCAATCAAATTTAACCTTGTCAGTTTTTTGTTGTGCTTTACACTTTTTAACAAGTTTTTGCAGATTTGTTTTTGAAATTTAAATAGTACATTCTATTTAGTATTAGTAAATTTGCTTGAAGTTTACTGAGATTAACTGATTGTTGAAACTGAAGATATAAGTGAAAACATAGTTGCTCTTTGTTAAAGCCAATAATTTTCAGTTTTATGTTATTATTCACAAAGTTATAGAGAAGCGTGATAGCTAAATTAAAAGAAATAATATGTTGTGATTAATGTTAATTATTTCTGTTTGTCACAGAAGTATATGTGTGTAACTATTACTTCCTTTAGACACTAGAATCCTTTTTTCATCATTACTTTGACTAGTACAGAATGACAATAATTTGTATTTTACGTATTCGATTAAAAAAAAGAATCCTGAATCAAAAAGTAACTTCTAAGATAAAATAAAAATATTTTACATATCAAGGAACTTCTTATGTAAGACAGTTTGCATGAAACACAAGAAAATGTGTATGTCAAAAAATAGATAAAAAAAATACATAAAACTATTATTTCTTGCTTATTTCTTTGTATGTGATTAGAAATTTCAGAGTTTTTTGCAATTTGAGCTTGGTGATATACTGGAAAGCTGAGGTAGATGTACACACGCCACGCTAGGAAGGTTACATAAAAGTTTTATTGAAATAAATTTGAGCTTGATGTCATTTTAATGATATACTGGAAAGCTGAGGTAGATGTACACACGCCACGCTAGGAAGGTTACATAAAAGTTTTATTGAAATAAATTTGAGCTTGATGTCATTTTAATGATATACTGGAAAGCTAAGCTCATGCCATATTAGCAGAGTAAATAAAAGCTTTAGGTTACTAGGAAAGTTTGAAACATCAGGTACAATGCTGTTTATATTGTTAATCTTGTTTGTTTTGGGTTAGTAGAAAACATGAGAAACATGCTGTTTATAAAATCCTGTTTTATATATGCTGTTTTTTTTTGCTTGTTTCAAGTTAACTGTAAACTTGTAACACATGTCTTATATCTGCTATTTTTATGCTTGTTTCAAGTTAACAGCAAACTTGCTGTGACACTTGTCTTATATCTGCTGTTTGTATGCTTGTTTCAAGTTAACAGGAAGCTTGATGTAACACTTGTCTTATATCTGCTGTTTTTATTCTTGTTTCAAGTTAACTGGAAGCTTGCTGTAACACTCTTCATACCTGTTGTTTTCCCACAGGAAAGTAAAATTACTATCGAACTCAGGTTTCAGCATTGTTAGAAATGAACTAATTGAGAATTAAGTTTTTACATCTTATTACTAAATTTTGATAGATATTTGGTGCTTAATATACATAAAAAATTGATTAAAGATTATAAAACAGGAGATTGAATGTTGAACTTTTATACAAGACAAAGAAAAATTGACATTGATGGATTGTTTGATTTATTATAAATAATAAAAAATATTTACCTTATGTTTCTCAGCGTCTACACCATGGTTTGAAGCCTATCGAGATGTGTTTTTTCAAGCTATTTATCCATCAGAACATGAGTTTTCTCAACATTATGTTGCTTGTATCCTTTGATATTATGCAAAAGCTTTTGTTTTTCTTTTGATATTTTTAACTTGTGTAAGTACTTTACTTAACAAAGATCCTGCTGAATTTATGCCATTTTTACTAACTGTTTAATTGGTCATTCAGTTATGTTAATGTACCTTAGCTTGTCCAAGGTCTTCCTTCAGTCTTAGGGAAGGTTTGCACAGGCCATGAAGGTCATGAAATTTTGTAAACAAATATTTTTAATGATGGAAATCTTTAAAAACAATGTGTTTTTTTTATCAGAAGGTCATGCAAAAGACTTCGAAAAATTAACCTCATTGCTCCCACATTGCCAATTTTTATTTATGACAAGCTGTATCATTCTGTTTATTTCAGTTTCACAAAAACAATCTAGAAAATGTGACTCATAAATGGGAAATAAGCTGACTTGGCAACATTGATCAGTAACAAACTTTGAACTGTTGTCATGTGACTATTGTTGGAAGGATATTGTCAGTGTAAACAAGTTCAATACAACAGTGATCAGTAACAAGCTTTGAACTGTTGTCATGTGACTATTGTTGGAAGGATATTGTCAGTGTAAACAAGTTCAATACAACAATGATCAGTAACAAGCTTTGAACTGTTGTCATGTGACTATTGAAACTTTGGATCCCAATTACAAATTATTTCTTGGACATTATTCTGCTTTTAAAGGACAGTCAGAACTTTTTAATACAATATTGTGATGTATGTTATTAATATTATGTTGTCTCTTTGTGTTCTTAATTTTTTTTCAAATCTAAAATAGATAAAATTCATAAAAGATTGGTTCATGGTTTTATTTTCAATCATCATACCCTGTGACAACTGAAACAAATGACAACACCCTTGACAACAAATATATTCGATTCTGAACAATTATTATCATAAATAATGCTTAAATGTGGGTATGTGTTATTGGATGAACTAATCAGATGAACACCATGTTGAAATATAAAGGTTTTATTGACCCACAAAGTTTCCAGTTTACTCAAAAAGTCTTTCTTAAGTGAAATTTTAGCATTGAATTGAGAAAGTGTTTAAAAATAATGTAACTGAATGGGGAAAAAACATGAAGTATATAACATTGTTAAGGCATGCAACAATATGAGAGTGATCTTGGTAACAATGTGTGTTCACACTTTGAATGGTCTTGGTAACAATATGTGTTCACATTTTGAATGGTCTTGGTAACAGTGTGTGTTCACACTTTGAATGGTCTTGGTAACAATATGTGTTCACATTTTGGGTTATCTTGGTAACGATGTGTGTTCACATTTTGCTATGTTGGTTTAGTTGACATTCTGATGTGTCTGTGATCTATGTTCAGCAGCAAATAAGGTATAATCTGACTTTCTATCCTCTTGTCAAGTTTAACTAGTATGATCAATAAATATTAACTGTGTTTTAAGTACATGCTAGAGGTGTTTTTAGCTGCACAGTATTTGGGAGAAAGACACAATTCTTTATCACTTGTTATTAAACTGAAGTTGGGAAGAATTTAAATGATGAATAATTCATTACCACTTTGTTCAATACTTTTTGGTTACAAAGAATTTCTTTTATTGGCTTGTTTTGTAGTATTTGTTTTGCTTCAATAAGTTTTTTTTTCCAGTAACTCAAATGATACTGTTACTACTGGAATATTATGTTCAGCTTTTACTCTATTTTTGTATGAAATATAATGAAACATTAGTTAATTAATTTGGGTGGAGTTCATGTTTTGTTAAAATCAGTAAATTAGGTCCTTGAAAAAAAGATAGCTTGATCCTGGAAAGTCCTGGAATTTGTTTTACATTAGCCTGAGAGAATTGTGCTAAATAGATAAAATTTTTAACTCTTTTTCAGCATGGGCTCGGTCCCTGGGACTGACCTCGTGACCATTTTGTGCTTGTTATAGTTTTCATGCTATAACTTTTAAAGTAGTAAGTGAATGTTAACAAAATTTGGTAGGTTATCAGTAAACATTACAATGCTTTCATACATTAAATATCACATTTTTTTATTAGGTCTTAAGGTTTATAAAGCAATGTTTTTCTTGTGTCTTTTTTTTTCTTTTTGCATGTTGCCTATCTATCATGCAAAATAATATTCATTTTAAG